CTTTCCAGACCTGTCACTTTCCAGAATCCTATACTGCTGACAACGTTATGGTCTATTGCAATTCCATTTTGCCTGTGTGACAGTCCCAACCTCCCACACTACAACTTAGTGGCTGGTGGGGACAAGTGGAGAGTCCAGCCCTGGGGTTGGGTTGCAGGAGAGGCGACTTCTCTGTCCCCAGGCCTGGCGACTCCTCCTCGCTAGTCCACACTCAAGAGCCATCCCTCCCCATTCCGCGCCCACCACCCACCAGGGGTCGCGCCCGCCCCGACCTCCCTCCACAGTGGGGAGACAGGAGAAAGGACTCAGGCACAGCGTTTAAGCCCCTCTCTCCCTGTGGGTCGCCTCCACCTCCATGTCCCACACCCTGGAGATGTCGAAGCAAGAACCGGACTCCCGTGTCTGGCATGAAATTTTTATTCAGTGAAACCAGGAGATCATAGTGGCTATCTTGAAATTTGCTCATATATGGGAAAAATGGGCATACATATTGAGAAAGGACCCCATTCCACCTTTGATGACCCTTCAGGCGTCCACTGTGACAGTACTTGTAAGATTGCAAAATTTGTAAAGTGGCTTGTTTAGCACGTGGTGGAGACAAGGGCCTAAGGTAATGAACTATCTCAGAGAAGAGTGCCCAATGGCAGCCTGGGGATTCTACTTAATGATATTGGCTCTAGGGGTAAGTGTGAGGGGTCGGAGCCCTTGGGACCTCCAATAGCAAAATAACCTGTCACAATTGTCCAGAAACACAGAGGGGGAACTGGTCACTGTACTTAGGGCAGATTCAGAGTGTTAAAGGAGAAAGAACGAGAAGAGAGGATTGAGTCTGAATGTCTGCTGTCCCCAAACACTCACTCCACATCCCAGATCTAATTCAACACCAGGGCAGTCTCTCCAGGCTCATTGAGGAAGCAGACTCTGGCCGTCATCTGGCCATCTTGTCATCTGGTCTTCTGTCAGCTGACACTGAAGAGAGAGAGAGGGCCAGAAATGGAGGGACAGGAAGAACACGGGCCAAGGATAAAAACGAGAGACACGAGAAGGACAGCAAAGAGGTTGAGAGACAAATAAAACCAAAGGGAGAGACAAACCAGGGGAGAAAAAGAGAGAGGCAGATTGAACAGAGCAAGTGAACAGGGACAGGGGGACAAAAAGAATAGGGTGTGAGCTTGCATATGGACATAACAGGCATGCAGACCCTCCCCGCTCCCCTGCACCCTTAATCACGTGGCGGGGGTCAGGACCTCACCTGCTACAAACTCTGTCATCAGAGGACAGGGCCAGGGAACACTTCTGGCCTTTCACCTTCACCACGAAGGTCTCCTGGGGTCTGAGTGACCAGGGGCAGCACTGCTCAAAGCAGACCCTGAAGGTGCAGTTTCCACATTTTTGGGTCCTGCCCAAGGACACCACAGCGTTGTCATAGCAACAGTGCTGCTGGGGGTCGTAGAACTGGTTCCCACATCTTGTGTGTGACTGGCACAGCATCAGGTGAGCACCCATGGGGGACACTGTAGGAGACAGAGCTGATGTGACCCAGACAGCAGGGCAGGCAGGTTTCAGTCTGGGGCCCTCTGGAAGCCACACCCCACCCCGAGTGTCCTTGTCCCTCCTGGACTTACCTGGGGCTCCTTGTGAGCAGAGGAAACTGAGGATGCAGAGAGCAGCCAAGACAGCTGTGGAAGAGGAGAGGGGTGAGGTGTGGCTGACGGTGCAACCACAGGTCTACCTCTGGGAGCCCAGCCTGGGGCAGGGGAAGGTCTGAGGGGTCTCTGTCCTGACTGAGGTTCAGGCGAAGGTTAGGAGCAGACTCA